CTATCACAACCAACTAACTAGCCAGAAATGTTGACCACTTTCACACACACACACACACACTATACATCCCGTACACTCACAACCGGAGTGAAAATCTTTAGACGAAAAAGAGTAAAATGTGCCGCAATGCTGCGAATCGCCTGTTAATTAGTCTCACTTAGAAAATAAACTGCAGTAATTAAGAACAGAGGCAGACAAATAATAAAAAGCGACAGCTGGAGCGCATTCCCCGCGGACATCAGCCAACGCCCCGAAAACTAGTTGAAGTTTTCCGACAGTTTTCCAGCCACTTCCCTTTCTCCCTTTGTCCCCTCTATCCGCTTTAGAGTGAGCATTTTAATTTCAACGCTAGAATTCTAATTAACAAACAAATCCGGCAGAATACACAGCAGCACTCGGGAGTAAAAATCCCCCAAGGAGTCATGGGTAAGAGGGAGGTAGAGCTGCCAGGATGACAGCAAAAAAGTATGCTACATAAAAACTCAACGAAAAAGTGGGTGGGGAGACAAAACCCTGTGAGCCATGATCTCCCAATTTAATATTATAATTGCTACAATTATCATTCTCATGCCATTTACACACAGCAATTGCACAAAAACAAGGAGAGCGAAAGGAAGCTGGAAAAAGAAGCGGAGAATAGGAGAGGGGATGCGAAGCGGATCCGGATATGTACGCCAAATTGAAGCAATTACCGGGAGTTCCCCGCACTGGAAAATCCTATATAAACGCAAATAGCTCCGCCCACAAAACGAGGGCCTCTCTTGCTCGTTTGCGCAGGCGTGAAATGGAGAGAGAGGAAGGGAAAAGTCAGAAAGAGAGAGAGAAAAAGAGAGATGGCTTCTCAAAAAAAAAAAATACAAAGATGATGGAGTCAAGTCTTAAGGGGAATTCCCCCCGATGCTGCTGCCAATGTTGATGATGATGATGGCGTTGATTATAAAGTAAGGTTGCAACAAAAACAAACTCAAATGTCACATTTTTTAAATTTATTAGCCACCCCCAAATGAAAGTTATGGCGGAGCAAACGAAAGAGAAAACCATTTTCCACGATTTAGAGCAAAATCATCCGAAGGACACACAAGTAAATCTCATTAGGGCCGCCAGCTAAAACACAACATTAATTGATTGTACATCGAGGATAATTGTTAAGTTCTGGTCGCAAAAATTGATTACGAAATGTTTTTGCAGCTGTTATTATTATTAAATTAATTTGTCATCAAACAAAAGTCCCCACTCAGAAATCTGCATAAAAGCCTGCCGCCTGCTCGCTATCCAAACTTCCACTCCTCCGTCGAGGCTTACAAAAACATGACACGAAAATAATCACAAATGTTGTTGATAAAATCCACAGACATGACGGGAATTTGTTTCAATGCGGCGAAAAGATATCCAAGTGAAAGCGAGGGGTATAGATTAGAAGTTCGTTCGTCATGTAAATGAGTTTTATCGCCTGGAATCGAACTAATTGAATTTGATAAATTGATAAAACATGAGCGGAAATAGCGCAGCTACAACAACTGGTGTCACTTGCTAGATTTACCCTGCAGAAAGTTATATATACTAAGTATATTTTATATAGACTTTATATTATTTCAACATTTAAAACTAATTAAAGTGGTGGGTATTGTATTTATAATTTAGACTTTGTCATTATTAAATCAAAGGTGTCAGTGTTAAGTTTTTTTATGCAAAATAAAGTCTAGACTCCCTAATATAATTATTATAAATATTTCTATATATTAAATAATAACCTGATACAACTTCTATTCCTTCCTGTTACCCCTCACAATTATGGGGCGTTAAGTGTGACAGCTTTACCCCACTTGTCTGGAATACCGACAGCTGGTCACTCACCTAAAACAACCCCCCTTACTAACTGTTATAGGTTCGCCGCCCATGTTCATTGGGGATCATCAAAAGTACAAAGTACAGTTAAGCAATAATCAATTGCTAAGCAATATTCTTGTCACCATTTGTTGTTGTTGCTGCCAATGTATTTGTTCGATTCATAGTTGTCATTGATTTGTTGCTGCTGCTGTTGGCCGTAGTCATTGGGTTTTCAACAGAAGTCAACAGCAGAACACCAGATAAAAGGCGACAGAACAGGAACATTGCAATGTGTAATTATCGTTGTCACTAATTAAAGTTGGATGATGACTAAAAACTAAAGAGGAAAACAAAAGAACATTCTATTCGGAATCTTATCAACGTAACCAGGGGATTTTCAAGACACTGACTCCGACTAGAGCCAGAGCAGACAAGCTGGCGAAGTATTTCATAAATCCTAATCAGCGGAAACAGTTCCCTCTTCTTATTTTTCTATTTCAATTACCGATAATACCTGCGGAATTTATTAGGTCGGGTCTCAATTTAGCTAATTGCTCATAAAGTTAATGAGTGTTTAAAATTAATGAGTTTTATGACGGTGCACCTGGAAACATTTGACCTCAAACATATATTGATTGAATTAGGGTTTGACATGTTGAAGGTAATTATTTAAATATTTTAGTTTACTTTACAAATCAACTGCATATTTTGAATGTATCAATGAACATTAAGTAACTATGATCAGCAAGTAAATATGATCAGTAAGTATCTATGACTAATAAGTAAGTATGATCAGGTACTTACCTTGAACACCAAAAACCAATGACTTGCAACTTTTGTAACAACACATTTCTAAACTTGGCCGGCAGCAGTCACTTCGTTCCGAGGATGATAGAAGCAGTTGGGAATCATATACACATGTGTGCGACATGAGCATAAGTAACTATGAGCAGTAAGTAACTCCAAACAGTAAGTATCTATGATCAGCAAGTAAATATGATCAGTAAGTATCTCTGACTAATAAGTATGTATGATCAGGTACTTACTTTGAGCACTAATAAACAATGACTTGCACTTTTGTAACAAAACACATTCTGATACTCGGCCGGCAGCAGTCACTTCGTTCCGGGGATGATAGAAGCAGTTGGGAATCATATGCCATATGTGCGAGATGAGCAATAAGTAACTATGAGCAGTAAGTAACTCCAAACAGTAAGTATCTATGATCAGCAAGTAAATATGATCAGTAAGTATCTATGACTAATAAATAGTATGATCAGGTACTTACTTTGAACACCAATAACATGACTTGCACTTTTGTAACACAACACATTTCTGAGACTCGGCCGGCAGCAGTCACTTCGTTCCGGGGATGATAGAAGCAGTTGGGAATATATACACATGTGTGCGACATGAGCAATAAGTAACTATGAGCAGTAAGTAACTCCAAACAGTAAGTATCTATGATCAGCAAGTAAATATGATCAGTAAGTATCTCTGACTAATAAGTATGTATGATCAGGTACTTACTTTGAACACTAATAAACAATGACTTGCACTTTTGTAACAAACACATTTCTGATACTCGGCCGGCAGTAGTCACTTCGTTCCGGGGATGATAGAAGCAGTTGGGAATCATATGCGCATATGTGCGAGATGAGCAATAAGTAACTATGAGCAGTAAGTAACTCCAAACAGTAAGTATCTATGATCAGCAAGTAAATATGATCAGTAAGTATCTGTGACTAATAAGTATGCATGATCAGGTACTTACTTTGAACACAATGAACAATGACTTGCAACTTTTGTAACACAACACATTACTATGACTTGGCTGGCAACAGTCACTTCGTTACGGGGATGATAGAAGCAGTTGGGAATCATATGCACATGTGTGCGAGATAACTATGAACAGTAAGTAACTCCAAAGAGTAAGTATCTATGATCAGCAAGTAAATATGATCAGTAAGTATCTATGACTAATAAGTATGGATGATCAGGTACTTACTTTGAACAGTAATAAACAATGACTTGCAACTTTTGTAACAACACATTTCTGAGACCTGGCCGGCAGCAGTCACTTCGTTCCGGGGATGATAGAAGCAGTTGGGAATCATATGCACATGTGTGCGACATGAGCAGTAAGTAACTATGAGCAGTAAGTAACTCCAAACAGTAAGTATCTATGATCAGCAAGTAAATATGATCAGTAAGTATCTCTGACTAATAAGTATGTATGATCAGGTACTTACTTTGAACAGTAATAAACAATGACTTGCAACTTTTGTAACAACACATTTCTGAGACTTGGCCGGCAGCAGTCACTTCGTTCCGGGGATGATAGAAGCAGTTGGGACTCATATGCACATGTGTGCGACATGAGCAGTAAGTAACTATGAGCAATGAGTAACTATGAGCAGCAATTAACTATGATCGCTAAGTATCTATGACCATTAAGTATGTATGATCAGTTACTAATAGAGGTGGAGAAACATCGATGCGAATATCGATTACTTCGATGCGAACATCGATGACCTCGATGCGAACATCGATGTTTTCGAAACATCGGCAACATCGATGCTTAGCGGCGCAACATCGATGGTTTTCGAATACTTCTGCGTTCCCGCATCATCGTGCGAATTTGAAAGAGTTTTCAGTAAAGCTTATAAGTGAGCGTCGCACGCCGCTATAATCGACCGTGTCGATAAGCTCCTCTTTTTAAACAAAAACAAACATGTAAATAATATGTAAATATATATTGTAAAGTTCGAGATAATAAGTAAGGATAGTACAGTACAGATAGTAAGTAAGGTTAGTAAAATAAGCAATAGTATAGTAGTAAGGAACTATTATTTTCTTGGACCATGTATATATTGAAACATTGATATTAAAATTGTTTTGTTATTAGTTTTTATTTACAAACTAAGGATAGGACAATATACCAAAGAAGTGGAGCATGAATATCAAGAACAGTTTTACTTTAGAATAAGTGATTATAAAATGGATACTTTTTGGTAAAATTTGACTTTTCTTGTTTAAATTTAAACGTGGCGCCTGAATCCTCCATTTGTTAGTATTAAAGTTCGATAGGTCGATAAAGATACTGAACATAAAGCTATGTCCGCATCGATAACAAGTCACATAACTAAATATCGATACATCGATAGCGCCGCCGAAGGTTTTTGCATCGCAGTTTATTATTATTTTTATTTTGCAAGAAATTGTACAAGAAAATGCAGAGCCAGCGATTTCTAATATGGGCAATTTTAGCCTGCTGCCTTGTGGCCATTAAATCCACGCCCATTAGGTGAGTTAATAGCCGGGGAAAGCCGAGAAACCCATAGATTATTTGGGGCAAACTTTCCCGGACTCCCCACTTCATCCTGCCCTACAACACGTCCTGCAGCATAGCTATACAATGTACATTTGTATATGTCGCGATCCAGGAGCTGAGTCAAGTTCAAGGTTGACTCAAGAGCCCCCTTTCGTGATAGGCACCATACAAAGAACTCGGCAAAATCGATGGAATTACTCATAGCTCAGTTCCTCCCTTTCTAGCGACACATCGGATTCGTCGGATGAATCAACGTCTGTGGAGAAGCATCAGGCGAAACGGGACCCTGCGGCGACTGGCGGTGTGGAGTTCGAGCTGATGTTCCCATACGATGACGACGACGCCCTGCTGGAAGGAGAAAAGTGGAACCCCGTGCAGGACAACGACTGGGACGTGCTGATCTTCACCCAGCAGTGGCCGGTGACCACATGCTATCACTGGCGCGAGGATAATCCCGATCAGGAGTGCTCGCTGCCGCAAAAAAGGAGTTCTGGACAATCCACGGCATATGGCCAACGAAACTGCATCAGTTTGGGCCGAATTTCTGCAACAATTCGGCCAGCTTCAGTCCGGAAAAGCTGGAACCCATATCAGATCGTCTGGAGACCTTCTGGCCGGATCTCAAGGGCGAGGACACGCAGGAGTGGCTGTGGAAGCACGAGTGGCAGAAGCATGGCACGTGCGCGATGCGCATCGAAGCACTAGACAATGAACTCAAGTACTTCGAACAAGGACTGACTTGGCGAGAGGATTACATTATGTCGCGCATCCTGGACGCCTCCGACATACACCCGGACTCCAACAATACGGTCACCGCAATCAACAATGCCATTGTGAAGGCGCTGGGCAAGAATCCCTCCATCCATTGCCTCTTCGATAACAAGCACAGCATTAGCTATCTCTCTGAGATTCGCATCTGCTTCAGTAAATCGTTGGAGCTGATCGATTGCGATGGCGTGAAGCAGGGTGATGCTGTGACTGTTGTCTATCCGGTGGCAATATCACCACCAATTGCCATATCGGCAGCCTCGTTCACTACCCGAGCTTGGTGCCACCGCTGCAGCGGAAAAGGGACTGGAAGTTTCCGCTGGTTAATGTCTACAAGCTGCTGCAGTTTCTCATGTGGTTCACATTGTAAACGACGACTGGGAGCTTGGACACATGATCTTACATATTATGTATAGTATTTTGAGGCGCGCCTTAGGAGGACTTGATGGTTAACTCCACCCTTGTTTCTATTCTTCCACTGATTTGACGTACACGATCCAGCGGCGGAGGTGAACAATCATAAACATAAATAGCTTCAAATTTAGTGAATTTTATGGAAATGGTTTCATCAACTCATAACCTTATTTCCTCTGTCCATTGATAATATTTCTTAAATCAAACTTATATTCTTTAATCACATGCACTTGTTTTTAATCTACTTTTATGGAACGGCCTAAAACTAATAATTAAAAGCCTTCTATTTTTAAATCTTTACCAGATATCTATTCTTCTAGTCTATAAGCTCATTTTTGTTGATACTGTATCTTCGACTTAACGAACTGGCGAAGGTCTACATTATCTATCGTATTAGTTTGTAAGCTTTAATTTTGTTCAATTAAAGGAATGCCTTGATTTTAACTCGAAAATGCTGTTGATTTTGTTTTTTATAAAGTCTAAAGGCTAAATAGATATTCTGTTTGATTTATCGAAAGTAATCTAAAATTACAATTTTTAAATATCCTTTTTAATATTTCATATCTAACTTGACAAAATTTTCAAAATTATCGCGGTATATATCATCCCAAGAGATCCTGTCTCTACAAAAAGACTCTACGGCTTTAACTTTTAACAAGTTTAACAATCATCCTAGTTGCTAAGGCTCACATTTTGTTTTAAAATTAAACTAAACGAACACAGCGAATTGATATATTGGAATATATTCTTGAATGGTTTTAATTTATAATTTAGCATAACAGGCTATTACATAGGTTTGATATCTAGGGGGGTATTGGAGATAAGGAGTCACCCTACTGCTGCTGCGTGGAGTTGCCATTGTACGTGGCCTTATCCTTCTCATCGTCATTGTTTGTATCCTGCAGCCGTCGAATGTTTGAGTCACCATACCGCGGTGGCTGATATCCGCCTGGGCGCTGTTGAAACTCCTGCGATGCAGCCTGGCTGCTGCTAGTGGGATGGGGTTGTGGGGTACTTCCAGTACCCGGCTGTGGCTGGGGAGTGGGAGGTGTTGTCTGGGATCCAGAAGCCCTGTTCCCTTGATCTTCGTAGTTGTAACCAGGATGAGGTGGTGGTCGCATGTTGAAGAGGTTCATGTTGCGACGGGCGGCACTGAAAGCAGAATAAATTAAACATATCAAACTGGAAATATCCATTCATAGTACTCACGCATCGCCCTGGGCAAGTCCGGGTTATCCTCTCGGTCTGTTGTTCCCCGGATATTGGCCACAAACGCGGTTAACCTCTGAGTGAGGGGGCGCAAGCCCATCTTGTTGATGTAGTCAAAGGCCTTGGCTGCCGGTGTGAGCATTGCCCAAATGGCCGTAACCAGCATGGTCATAAGGGAGCTGCCGCTGCGTACCACTCGATTCACATGCTCCTTAGCCAGCACCAGAACCACGGCATTGGGCACCAGTTTCAGTTCCCTCAGCGTCTTCTCCTCGTCCTCCGTTGCGAACTCCCGGCGTGGGTAGCTCGTAGCCAAAGTGAAATCCCGCACATCACTAGCGGCCAACAGTTCATTTCGCACATAGATGCGCACGGTGCCAGCACCTCGCCAACTGGAAAGGATTTGGTGTGATTGATGCCACCGGGTAAGCGGATCTGCAGACGCGTTTCGTCAACAGAACTAAACGAGGATTCGCAAGCCAGCGAGGTGGTTGTGCTTGTCGCCTCCGCGTTAATTTGGTTGCGTTGCGCTTGCTCCGCCCGATCGGCGGCGATTGTGCGCGGATACGTTCCCTGGCCGCCTGCTCCTCCAGCCTCTCGCGACGAATGCGTTCCTATGAGTATAATAACGAAGAAACAAAGGCTTAGCTCATTATTTTATGCATTTATGTTTAGGTTTTAATACCTGCATATTCTTTAGCTCCTGCTCCTTGGCCAGTGCCTGCTGGCTTTGCGCCAGCCTACCCTCCCTTCGCCGCCTGAGCTCGTTTTCCTTTCACGTTGTCTCTCCTCCTCCAGTCGCTCTCGGCGCTTCTGCTCCAATAGTTCTGTACCTCCAACATCCGCGTTTCGGAATCTGTTGTAGATATCTGTTCTTGTGCCGGTACTTGTTCCTGCGCGGGTCCCTGTACCTGGCGCAGCAACTGGTACAGCTGCCGTAAGCAAAGGTACTGTTGGTAGAATCGACGAGGCGGCCAAATTTACGGCAGCGGTTCCGGATGTGGTCGCAGTCTCCGCTCTACTTGGTGTCGGTGCAACTACCACTACCGATGCCGTGTCTGTTTCTTGTTTTTCAGCCACCGAATCCGTTGGAGAAGCTGTGGGCTGCTTGGCTTCCACCAACCTGGACGTTGATGATTCAGCGGATATCGCTGAAATACTGGCTACAGCTGGAGCAGATGCCTGATTCGCCTTAGACTGCTCTACTTGTAGAGTCGAATCCGAAACGGAGGCGACCACTTCGACGGGCCTGGGAGTCACTGAAACAGTTTGACTTGGTTGCGGTTCCTCGGGTGTCTCAGGAGTCTCTGCGGTCTCGAGTGTCACGGGGGCCTCGGGTGCCTCGTCCTTGCTTAAACTGCTTGAGTCATCGGCTCCGGCAAAGCTTCTGACTGCAGTGGGATTCATTTGCTCCGAAAAGGAGGTGACTGAACTGGTTACTGACAGCGTTTCCGTTCGCTTCCCTGCCAGAACCAAAACCCGGTCGATCTTGGCTATTAGCTCTTCCACACTATCCGTGATTCCGGTGGCTATTTCCAAAGGAGTGCCCGTCTTGCCGATAAAGAAGAGCGAGGGAACGGGCACAACTTTGTCTGGAAGAGGCAACAAGGGCCGCTAGAGCGATGGGCGAGTGACTCGGCAGTAATCGATACTTACATAGCGACATGAACTGTCCGTAGGCTGAGCTGTTTCCCTGGACTTTGATGGATACAAAGTCGGCGGTCTCGAGGCGGGTTCGCACCCGCGAGTCGTCCACGAATCGTTCCAGCTTGCTGGACAGCTCATCCTTGCCTGAAGGATTTCAAGGCAAAGATTTTCACAACAATGACGTGGAGGATTCGAGAAGTTTGTGCATTAGTCTTACCCTCAATAAAGACGACGAAGACGGCGTCCTTGGCCTTCGATTCGGCTACGGCCTCCGCTATGCTGCCCCTGTGCCAGTTCATGGTTTCGATCGGTTGTTCCACTTTTTTTTCCGGGTACGAATACGGAAACGGGTAATTTTGCCTGTTTTGTTATTCCAGAAATTTTTCCTCTGCTGACAGCTGACTCCCACGTAGAGATGGTATTTGTAAATATCGATATTTATTCAATTAAATTGTTAAAGGGTATGGTAACAGAAATATAAGTTTATATATATATATACAATTGTATTATTCAAATTGATTGTTTTTAGCTCTGTGTATAAAGTAAATTTTAAAAACATGAGTTATCGATCTCAGCCGGCGATTGTTCGATAGAAAAAATCATTTTCGAATTACTAAGTATAAACTAAGTCTATTCGTGCATACATAAAAAAAATTGTATTTTTATAAGAACGATTTAGTACGAAAAGAATACTATTCAAAATAAACCTTTAAATTCCTGGTTTCTTTTAATGCAAAACACACTACATTAAACTCCTAAGGCTGCGCCTTGCATGTTAACAAACAAATATTTCAAATAAATAATTATAAATAAACAAAACACCAAAAGAGACTGGCTTTAAGCTAAAAGATGAACACAGGGGACACATACAAAACATATATTACAAATAGTAAAATGGAATAAATTTAACAAAATAAGAAAATCGCTGCAGTTGAATATAAAATTGTGTTTTATTGGATAATGGATATATGTATGAGTCCCACGAATGGTATGGGTTAAAAAAACTATGGTAATGCCTTTGTAGAACACATAAGTCTATCGCCGTAGATCTAAACATATGAATATAGGTGATTGTTTCCAGTCATTTAGGTTTCTCGTTAGTACTTAGAATTCCATTTACTCGCTAGATGCGCCTGTAATTAAAATAGTAGTTAGTTCGACATATTTGGCCAAGGCCGTCTCTCACCCACCCTTACCTTCGTCAATGTCGAGTTTATGATGGAACTGGCCGGGGTCACGGAGATCTCGCTGCGCTCCACGTCCGGCAGCCTGGCCACCCGGACAATGCATCTTTTGGGCTTCGGTTTAAGTGGGAAAGGATGAGCGGTGTTGGCAGCAGTCGACTTTAGCCTTTCCAAATTAACGCGACACTTTCGCACCTGGTACTCCACCTCCCGCTCCACGCTGCGCTCACTTTGTATGTTAAAGTAGGGGTGGCGCGGTATCTTAACAACCATTTTCTTGGTTTTGCATTTCGGCGACATCTTCAATATCGTGGAAAGAAACTTTCTAAGGCAAACGCAAGTTATTTTTTTTGGCTGCAGACGCCGTTTGTCGGTGCTGGGAAACGACAAAATCAGTGGCGAACTATCGATAGTGGCCACTACTAAACAGCTGACCGCCATGGCTGTAAACAAATTTGGCTCTCAACTTATTTGAAGTCAGAATACTTCATATTTGATATGAACCTTAAATTTTCTATTTTATATACTTTATTTAGTATTCCAATATATAAAATTTATTTATTTAAAAATAAGAAACTAGTAAGTATTAATAGCTATTTTACGGCCGCACTAGCTATTGCCACTTGGTATCGATAGGTCACCGCACAGATTCAACTATTTCCTAGCCGCTACTTTTAACACTTTTCAACACTACGCCAGGGTTTTGTTTCTGTGTGTCATTGTAAATTTTTGTGTAAATACACGAAAACTATAGACGAATACATTGTTTGCAAGCACAACGCAGGCAACATGAGCGACGTGCAGACTCTGATGGATATGGGTTTTCCCCGGGAGCGCGTGTAAGTGTGCGGGACTTCCCCGTTTTTTTTTTACTCCTTTTCCGGCAAGTTGCGAAAATGTACTTTGATGGGTTCTCTTCCCTACATTTTCCGCAGAGAATACGCTCTGCAGGTCACCAGCAACAAGGGAGTGGAACCGGCCATGGAATGGTTGCTGGCCCACGGCGACGAGGAGATACCACGTCAAAATACAGGCGACTCTAAGGGTTCGGGTACCGGGGTGGTTCCCCCAACTTCTAACGACGACGCGGCGGCCTCAGCAGCTCCCAGCAGTAGTGGCGGTGCCGAAGCCGCTTCCAGTTCCCTGGTAGCCAAATCCCTGAAGTGCGACGATTGCGGCAAGGTGCTTAAGGATCACACAGAAGTGGAGTATCATGCCGCCAAGACCGGCCACAGCAACTTCTCCGAGTCCACGGAGGAGAAAAAGGCCCTCACCGAGGAGGAGAAGAAGGCCCAGCTCGCTCTCATCGAAGAAAAGCTCAAGCAAAAGCGCATCGAACGCGAGGAGCGCGAGAAATGGATGCTCTGGAACGGGAGAAGAATCGCATCAAGTCCGGCAAGGATATGACAGAGGCCAAGCGCCGCATGGAGGAGCTGGAAATGAAAAAAATCGTGGAGCAGCGCAAGCGTGAGAAGGACGAGGAGAAGGCGGCTCGCGACCGGGTGAGGGCTCAAATCGAAGCAGATAAGGCGGCACGCAAGGCCAGGTGAGGCTCAATCTTCAGTTTCATTGAGAAAATCCATAACATTTCGCGTTCCGCTACCCACAGAGAACAAAAGGAAGCGGGCATTTCTGAGCCAGCACCCTCGGTTAGCTCCACCACGGCCAGTTCGCCGGCTCCGGCTGTGACATCTCCGCAGCGCGTTTACACGGAAACCCGTATTCAGGTGCGTTTGCAGGATGGCTCCACGCTCCAGGAGACCTTCAATATCAAGGAACAGCTATCGGCCGTGCGTGTGTTCATCCAGGTCAAGACCGGCATTGAAACACCATTCTCTCTGATGACCACCTTTCCGCGCCAACTGTTTGCCGAGGAGGACTATGAGAAGCCGCTGGAGGTGCTCGGCTTGGTCCCATCCGCTGTCATTACCATGACCAAGACGGCTGCATAGGACGTTGGGAATACCAGGGAATCTCCCTACTTCTATCTTTACGACTAATCGGAACTAGAAACTAAAACAACTAAAAAACGCGGCGCGATATTCCCCAAAAAACATTAAATGTACGGTTTTTTATATGTATTAAACAGGAAAAAAAAGAAAACATTAATGCTTTGGCAAAAATTCAGGGACTTTCCAGTGGAAAAACAGCTTTCTTCCCAAATTTTATAATTTTAAATGAGTAATTAATTTAATTCTTAACACTAATACACTGCTTAGGTCAGTTACATGAACGGCTCCACATAGTTCTTGATCTTCTTGACACTACGCTCCGCTGGTCGGATATTTAAATGCTGACCAAAGATGGTGAACTCCATGTTGCCCACCGTCAGGCCAAAAACGCACTCACTCTTGGGTATGGTTCGCAGCCGGTGATCCTTACCCAGGAGCTTCAACACATTCTTGGTGTCCATCACACAGATACCGGACAGATTCTCCAGGGTGCTGCACTTGGACTGCGTGACTCTCAACTTGGCGCCGTGCAAATCCAACTTTACCAACTGCTTGCTGAACTCATCGTAGCGGGGATCATGGACTTGGGGCACCTCGCCGCCCTCCCGCAATGCCAGGTGCTCGCGGACGTAGCCCTTCCACAGATTATGCAGCGGCAGGGCTTCCTCGTACTTCATCTGCTTGGTGGGCAGTGTATTCAATCCGAGCTTCGCGTACTCCTTCCTGGTCAACGTTGTCGATTTGTGGGCACGCCGCTTGCGGGAATGCTGCTTCTTGATCTTACTGCCCTCCAGCATGGTTATGTGGTCCTCGTTGATGGCCACATTTCGACGGTGGTGCGGAATAACCAAGTCAGTGATGAATTCCTTCAAATTGCTAGTCGCGTGGTCCATTTGCAAAAACATGAAAAAACAAAAACAAAATCAAAACAAACCTGAGTGGGACCATATTGTTTCCGATTTTTTACGTCGATTGGTCGATGATTCGATGTTTTCATCGATGTTCGCGCCCCTAATTCCACCCACCGTATCTGTAAACGTGTAAAATGGTTATCTAGATTTGTACGATGTAAAATGTTAAACAACAGCTGGATTAACCCAACAAAAAAATAGCTAAAATAAGGGAAGTACCATAGAAAAAAGTTAAGAAAAATGCTGACTTTTATAAAGCATATGCTGTAGATTTTCATTAATAAACACTCCGTTCAATACTTTACATAAAATATATAATGTACAACAATTAAGAATTATAGTATATTTATTATATAGTCAATATTATCGGCATCATCAGTTGGATAAAAATTCTGTTGTTTAATTGTAGATAGGCAGCTGGGTGGTGGAATGAAGTTAAAACAGCACTTATTGTGTCTGAGCTTCAGCCCAGAACTTTATTGTATCATCGACATTTTCCAACTCTACCAGGGTTCTGGCGCTGTACAGACGTTCAATTGAAATTTGCTTAAATTTGCTCAAAAAGCCAGAATTCCCGCTGCCCGCTATTTTATATATTTTTCCAGCAATCCCACTTCAAAAACATAAAAATCTGACGGGAAAAAAGCGGAAATGAAACCACTGCACCCGATAGCACCAGAGAGTGTTCTGTTAATTTACATCCACCAGACAGCCAAAAAGAGAGTATTCTGTTAATGGGCAGGTCTGTTAATAGAATACTGCATGTATCTGTAAACGTGTAAATGTTATGTAGAAGTGTAACATGTTAAACAACAGCTCTAAGATCAGAGCGACAAGAAACAAAATATTATTAAATACCACATATTGATATTTTGATACATTTTCACCAATCCGAAAACGACCGACACCTGCAGCACACGAGAGAGAATTCGGTTAATTAACATACACCTGACAGCACCCAAGAAAGCAGAGAGCGGTTAGTTACCAATTTTATTTTTTACATGAGCATTCGACCCCAAAAGTGAGAATTCGACCCCATGTTATATTACACGTAAGATGTCGAATGTTAATCCGGAATTCAGAGTGACCAAGAAATAAATACCGAAAAACGCAACTCTTGGGCAAAAAAAATCCCACAAAATTCCAAAAACAAAGTTTCACTCAACTAAGGCGGTCGTGCCGCGGACGGAAAAATAAAAGAAATCGAAAAAGACGCCGCGTGTGATTGAAAATTTAAGAAGTTAAATGCAGAGGCTTTGTGCACGCCCATCAGCCACGCCCCGCGGCCGTGTGACAACTATGATAATGCAATAAAGCCAGAAACGTGACCCAGGCAATTGTTTGTTTGTCTGCTGCATCTTGTTCGTGTGTTTCGTGTATCGGTTTGAGTGTGTGTGTGTGTGAGCAGCCGCCGCGTCGTAGTAGTAGTAACAGCCGCAACAACAAACAACAACAATGTCGTCTCGCGTTTTTTACAATAATAATTAAGAAAATTACAAAATTCATTTCGAGTGCTTTTTACTGTGTTATCTATCTCGCTCTCTCTCCCTCACACACACGCACCAAGTTCCCCTCCCGCACGTTCCCGGCGCGTTGCTTCGTCCGTCTCGCTCCCACAAATGCGGAAGAGTCGGAAATAGTAAAATTAACAAAAAAGAAAAACTGCTGCCGGGCCACCGTCGCTGCTCAAATAATTTGTGCATTTTTTAAGGTAAATCAAAGGTGGAAACGCCAGTTTAATTGCCCCAGGAAAATCTAGGAAAGCGAAGCCCTGGGAATTATTATTTATCCCCGGGCAAAAATTTCTTTTGTCCCGTTTTTTCTCTTTTATTGCATTCCGTTTGAGTTGAGTTTGAGTTTACCGTTGTTGTTGTCTTCTGAGAGAGTTTGGCGGCAGAGGTTTTTGGCTCTTCTCAGCATTGTGTTTGGTTTGCCTCGCAACATGCTTTCCTTAAATTTGTGTAAAATCCGTGTGTGTGGTTTTTCATTTAACGAGCTTGTCGCACTTGGCTCAAATGGCGCTTTTGAGCGGCTTTTTGCAGCCACGCGCAGGCAGCGCAGCTGAAAAATCTCACTCAGATTCGGGAATCGCCAGAATCTCACTCACATGCGCGCACACACTTACAGCACACTCTTACGGTTGTAATCGCGACAGCCCAGCTAACGGCACTTTTCACATCCTCCTCTCTCTCGGGCTCTCTCTCTTTATCCCCTCTCCTGTTTTTCAATTTTGTTTTTTTTTTCGTGTTGTTCTTGTGCAGCTTCATTTGCCACCAAAAATTTGGAAAGCAAACAAAAGTAATTGCAATTAAAGTACAGTGAACAAACGCAACGGGATATTTCCGGCTTCGAAAAACTAGAGCTCAAAATGATAGGCATGAAACAAATTAAATGTAATTAATTTTCGGTTTGTTCTAGTTGAAAAATCAACGATTTATGGTTTTAAAGTTTCATGAAACGTTGGAACTATGAAATTAAAGTTATCATTTTGGTTACTTATATTCAAAACTAAAATTTTAATGTAATGAAACCAACTTAGAAGCACATTTAAAAGTTATTAGATTTTTGGTAGTTTTATTGAATTTGCATTTGGCTTTATTAAAATGTTTCTGCTTTAAAATATTTTAATACAATTTTTACATGTCTTAAATATTGTAATAAAATGTGTTTTTTTTCTATAAACATTAAAGAATAATTTTAATACAAAAATAGAGATATCAAGAAAGTGGAAGTCTGGAAATTGAAGTTGAATTATAGGATAAAATCGAAAATTGAACATAACTAATCTTAACATATTCGCATTTTTTTAATCAATATTTATCTATATTTTTATATAAAATATTTTCGACAAACCAAAGTTCAAAGTTCTCATAACTAAGCTTAAAAAGCATTAATTTTAATGCGGAAAGCGGCCCTATGTTAGTTTTTATAAGGTTAAAAATTTGCATACTCATTTACAATTTTAAAAAATGTGAAATTGTTGCCAATTTTTGAAAATGTTTAACATGTAACCCTTTTTAAATATAAAAAAAAATAATTTGTAATTCAATGTTCAATGTTCCTAATTTATAATTAATATTATCAACTTAATCTGAAAGAATTCAAATAAAGAATAAGTAAAAGTCAAACCATTAAGATTATAATTGATTTCTTTTACTTATTTTTTCCCAAACGTTCAATGAATTTGCCACTTTACCTAATCATTTGTAAACAAATCCTAACAAGTAGTGTTTATTTATCTCTCCTTATTTGCAGTTCTCCAAAATGTCTTCAAATCTCATTTAAATAAGTTAAAAGTGTCCAATAAGGACGTTAACGTTAACAACACGACAAAGAATCGGAAAAGTATAGAATAGATTAGAATAGAAGCCAACCAAAACAGCAACAAATGGCCAACAATTGAATGGCGGCCATCAGTAGCCCCCAGCGGCATCCATTGAGCAATCAACACCATTTCTCCCACATCAAGCCAAGCACCAACACCAACACCACCACCGCCACCGCCACCGCCCCAGTCACCACCAGTTCTGGAAGCAACAGAACCAGAACCAGAAGCAGAACCACATTCACGTCCACAGTCGAAACCACCACCATCCCGGCGGAACTGAGCTCCATCGGAACACGAGACAGTCAAAACAACAGGAACATCGATAGCAACGACCAGAAGCGGGTGCAGCTGCTCAAATTATTTGGAAAGCTTGCCGCGTAGTCCATCAATGAGCGTTTCGATGTCACTGGTACAGGGTGGTGCTGCCGGTGGTGCGCCACAGGGCGCCAGCGCAATCTTGGCCGCAGCGGCTCCCTATTATCAACCTCCAGCGGTTCCTCAGGATGTTCAACCGGATCGTCCCATCGGCTATGGAGCATTCGGCGTTGTCTGGTAAGTCAAGAGATCATATTATACTTTCTTTATGCTGATTATAGGCAGGATAACCCTTTTCGTGGGTGTTTAGGGAAGTTATATTAAAATAAGTCTAGTCTGGATATAAACATATATTTCAGTTGTTAAAATGATAAAAATATATCCATAAGCATTCTGTAGAATGTATGCAAAAGTAAATGAGTCATATAAAAAGGTCTTATTGAGAAAGGTTCTTTACAACTTTTTGCAATTGTTTATTGATAAAAGAAGGCATAATCAAATGGCTAGATCAACCACTAATTTCCAGGCACTTTTGAAGAAATAAAACTAGTATTTAGAATCACTAGCAAGTCATTAAATATTATATAAAATTCTTTTAAAATATACAAAACAGTATGGGAGTTCCTCAAGTAAAGGCATTCTATGCCTTATAACTATGTATACATTTAGCTCAAATAGCTAGTTATGTTTACATCATATACCATACTTGCTTTTATATACACAAACATTGTAAACAAATAACTGCAAGGGTATTTGCAACTTCGGTCCACATTTCAGGCACACCCCATTGCCTTGCTATATGTTCATTTTTGTCATGGTCTCGCCGTGGGTTCAGCAACCTTCTGTTTAGGCCTTTGATTCTGTAACCCTTTCTGGTTCTGTGTGTTGTGTGTTGCTCTTGTTGTTGTTGTGTGTTGTGCAGCAGGCAACGTCAACATCCTCATGCCTCGTACTCATTTCAATTCTGAGCCCAGTCCCAGTCCCAGTCCAGAGCCCCGAGCTGTCCTTCATGATTTTGCGCCTTTGTGCAGTTTCCAACGTTTTGGCCTGGGCCCCCCCGAGGGTGGATTTTTCCTATAATATATATATTTCTTACCCTAAGCGCGGACATCTCTCTCCCCTCGTTTTTGCCTCGTTTACTTTCATCTCCCTCGTTTTTTTGTGCGTTTGTGTTGCCTTTCCTCTTGACTCTCCTTTGATTTGCATTTGCATTTTTGTGCGAAAATTTTTAACATTAATTGTTGCTTAAACGGGTTTAACTTTATATCTAACTGCTACATCTGTTTAGTTTTGTAGCTCACTGAAAGAACTGAAAGGGGAAAAACTCACTCGAATTAGATGAGGAATTATTTGACACAATAGATATTTTAATATAATATCTTATAGGTGCATAAATTAGATATCACTCTTAGTTATATATCACCCGATATTCATAACCCATATCTACTTAATAAAATGTGTTAAAAGAGGTTCTACAAAGGCCTTTGTGTGGAGTCAAAGATTTGTGTTAAAAATGTGAGTCTACCTTTTAGTTAATAAACAAAATAGTAAACAAAAACAAGGTGCAAATTGATCTCTAAAAAGTAGCTTCTCCACAGCACAATTCACATACGTTTTGACTAGAGAATTTCCATTTAATTTTCTCGTTTCCATTTAATATTTAATCTTGGCTACCCATCAATTTATTTTTAGTGTAGACTCTGAAGTTCGGCAACGCTGCTTTTTACAAATTTCATTCACGTGTAAAACGGCATTTCCGGCTATAATCAAAACGCAAAGTGAGGCCAGTTTATCGGTTGGTTGGGGGGGGCCTCTTTGGTCCGCGGAGTTGGTGGAGGAGGCGGCATTGGGTCCGCCGGGAAGCCAGTGAAAAACTGGCACACAACGGACGGGGATGGAGAAGGGGGTTGTGGTGGGCCTTAGCCTGGGTCTGGGTTCTCTCTCTCTGGGCACAAGGAAGTCTGAAGACGAGCCACAAGTGGAGGAGCTGAGCTAAAAGAAAACACAAAGCGTGGAAAGGCAAACTATGATGAGGAGAGGTGCAAGAAGCAGCTCGAGTACGAGTATATCCCCTTAAAAAACCCCCATCCCCATTCCCCTGAAAGAAAAGGCCGAAGTTAAGCCCCCCCGGAATCCCTTTTGGCCAAGTTAAAGTGGAACCCGCAGAAAGAAGTCGTTGACGTTTGAATTGGCTTTACAAAGCAATCATCCTAACCGTGTGGGTCTGACAGTCTCTTCAGCAATATATTAATAATGCAGTCATAGTTTTTCACAAACTACTATTTGGAGCTAAAGATCTTATAATTTTTATTTAAAAATTACTTGGAAAACTCTGTGCAGAACTACGACTTGGACTGCATCTTGTTTTGGATAACCGCCAATTATTGTTTTCCATTCATAAACAAGATTTAAGTGTGAGTACTTTACAGTTGAAATTCAGCTAAAAGTTTCTTAGTTGCCGGCTTTTGCTACTCAATTTTCTTTAATAACACAAAGTTGAACTTGTGCAAGTTATGGCAGCTGTGCTGCACGTTATATATATAGCTTGTATAAATACACTATGTATATATAAAGATCCTGTCCGACTTTCTGAGGGGGAGAGACAGAAACTTAGGCTGGAATGCAATCAAGCGTTAAATTCAAGTGCCAAATGTCGAACTTGTTAGATGCAGCCGGCCCGCTTCGGTACAGCCTAGGCTAGGCCATGTCTTTTTTATAGTTATTTATTTATTTTTGTTTACGGTTTCTTAGTTAAAAGTGGTGCTATTCCAAGGGGGTAGAGAAATTGTGCCTGTGGAAAGAGCAGGTGAGCAGGTGAAGCGTGGTTTGCGGAAGGAAGTACTGGACGTTAAGTAGTTCTTGTTTCTCAACTGAAGTTGGCCGAGTACAAAATATACAACTTTACCAGAATCCGCTTATAAAAGTTGGCTACATTATGTTCCTTAGGTAAAAGTTAAAGAGTCTACAAATTGATAAATTCCTTTAATTACTTCTCCCACGACCTTAAAACACTTGAAATGATTCTAATAAAGGAACCGAAATCGATTCTTACTGCTAGATTACTCAATTTATAATTTGTTTCCCAGAAATGGCACTCTGGAAACAAAACATACACAAAAAAAGAAGAAAAACGAAACAAGAGCAACAAACATTCAACCAATTAATCCTAGGCAAAGTTCTACGAATTTTTCCCAATGCAAGCGACTCGAAAGAGTCAAGAAAGCGACAGAGAATTATATATAAGATATATATATATATTGTATCCGAACCGTAGGTATATTTGGTATGTATGTGCGGGTCGGACTCGGTCCGTCTGCGCAGCAGTCGCATAAGAAATATGCTATAAGGTATCCCAAAAGACGAGCGAATGAGCAAAGATCTTGGGCTTTACTTTAAACTACCTGCAACTGGTTTTGGGAGGTGCGCAGGCAGACGATGGACCAAAAGACAGACCGATGGACAAGTGGACGGTTTTTGGCTGGAATAAATAAAAAAAAAGAAGACAGTGTAAACCTTTTGCCTGCATCGGAGAGAGAGACGAAACCCGCTTCCTGCACGAATTGTGAATCTCTCTGGACCTGGACCTGGACCTGGACCTCAACCTGGCATCCAGAGTCTTGGCCTGGTCAGCAAGGCAAGGTGTCTCTGGTCTAGGCTCACTCACCGACTGACTTGGCTTAGCCCGTTCCTGTTATTTTTAGGCTCTTGGCTTTGTTTTGGCCCATTCCAGTTCCCTGGCAACAGGCTGACTTGAGTTGAACTGCAATTTAGAACCTTTTAATGGTCTTTATTGTTTATAGTCATGAATTTTATGGTTTATTTTGGAGCATAAAAACTAATCAAAAAGTATCAAAACTTTAGGGTTTTTGAATACCTTTTGTTTAAAGATATTAAAGTAGTAAACAGACAATGGTATATGATACATTGTAAGCTAGTCTTCATAGTTTAAGTTGTGGTTTCTAATACCTTAACTAAGTTACTGGGTTTTTTTTAGGGTATTTCCATTTTCGACTTTCTGTTAGACTTATTTTTGTCACTCTACAATTCCCATCTGATTTTGATCAGGTCACAAATCCTGTGCTAATCTCAGCCGGGAAGTTCAGTTCCCGCATGGCACACACACTCGTGCTTGTACTTTTGATTTTGGGCCGCTTCCAACCACCAAAAAAGATGTGTTCTGTGTGTGTTGCGAGGCCAAAATCGAAAGCAGTGCACATGCATAGTTTTATTTACGATTCTCCTCAATCCCAGTCACAATAATGCCATCGTCGCAGCGATAGCGATCCCATTCCAAGCCCATCCAATGTTTGGAACAGCTGCTGCAGAGGCTGTGCCTGTGACGTTCCCCCTTCTGAATCCCGTCCTGTTTTTGGTCTTTTCCTGCGGTGGTTGGTTGGTTGAACAACCTTCGCCTGCTTTTCAGTTATATTTCGTCTGGCAAACATACATATATATATATACACATGTGTGTATTTGTATGTTGCACACACAGACCGCTTACAGGATACGGTTTGGTCGTGAGGTCCCGCATATGTTTTTTTGTTTTCAGTCTCGTCTCGATTCGTTTCGTTTCGTTTCCCTGGGAGTGCATCATCCTGAAGAGTACCAAGGAATAGCCTGAAAATACAAACCCAAAACCCAGAAACCAAACCCAAACCATCCCCTTTTCTAGTTTTGTCTCGGTCTCCTTGCAACGACAAAGTTTTTCCAAAAAACCATTTTCAATTCAGCGTTTTCCCCGTCTGTATCTGTTTCTGACTTTGAAAGTGTTTGAATAATTATCCTGTTTTCGTAGCTCCCTGCAATTTCTTTTGCATTTATCCCCGACTGGGTTGCCTTTGCAGTTTTGCTCTATTGGTTTATGAGTTTTTCATCAAGTTTCCCTCTTTCCCAAATACACACGTAAATTGTGAGAGTTAGGTTATTGATTTTATTCTAAGGGAAACTATTGTCTTTGGTTGATTAAATGTTGTGAAAAGGGTTTAAGCAAGGGAATGGGTGTTATTATAATTTATTCTGTAATTTGTCAATAGTTTTGGGGTTAGGGAAAATTATTGATAAATGTCAGATAGATAATATTACTTTATTTCATTAGAGATAAATCATTTTGCTTTGAAAAGTTGGTGTGGTTGTTCTTGGACTTGGGCGATAGGTTTTTAAATCAATTCCTTAAAAAACAGGATTTTAAATAACTTTCATTATCTTGTAACCCTTCAATCTTGACGAATATAGTTCTC